AAAGTACCCGCCCACTGGCGACAAGACACGCAGCCCTCGGACACCAAGCAGGAGGGGGCTATGAACCTCAACGGGGAGACAGAGGTTTTCAAAAGGACAAGTGGGGAAAATGATCGCTTGGAACCCTGCCCCTGGGGAGCACTCTGACGGGTGCCACCAGCCTAGGTGCCCTCTGGGTGAACGCCCACACTGGAGCACACAGATGGCCGAGGATGCCTCGGGGCCTCTTCAGACGGTCCAGGAGAGAGCACGGCTTTGGAGAGCGCAGGGCAAATGAGGGGAGAGGGGTGAAGTCCGGCGCTGATGCAGTGACACGACCTTGAGCTCAGTCATGCCGGATAAAGAGACACCTGTGCCGACAGCGTGGCTGGGGCCCAGGGGTCGACCAGAAACCGGGACTTCACCAAGAAGGGTACCTGGCTTCAAACCAGGCGGAGTGGGGACCAAAGCGAGGCCCAAGTTTTATTTGTACAGTGACCATTGGTATACCTTCCTGGAGGCCAGTCATGTCCATGTTTAGCCCTCCTTGCTGTGTCCCCATATTTCTTGCATTTTCCGGTACCATATTTTGTCTCTGTGGGCTTCATTCTGAGCGTGTTCTTTGAAGCCATCTTTCAACTCAGCTGTCCTCTTCAGCCATGTCTTGAGTTTTAAATTCCTGCCCTTATACTTTCAGTTCCAGATTTTTCCTTTGGCTTTTTTCCAAGGTTTCTGCTTGATCTTGCCTTTTATTTCCCTGACTGTACACAAGACAGTCACTTCTAAGTGGTGACAGATGGCTACTTTTCTTTTTCTAAATCTGCTTCTATCGTCTATGTCTCTCTTGACGTCCAGTCCTGCCTTCTGTGTCAGTCAGCCGGGGCTGCTGCAACCAGATACCATGGCCTGGGCGCCTTAAGCCACAAGCATTTATTTTCACAGCTCTGGAGGCTGGGAAGCCCAAGGCCAAGGTGCCATTGACGTTGCCTGGCGAGGCCCCCTTCCTGGGCCACAGACGCCGTCACTTTCTGTGTCCTGGGGTGGCAGAAGGAGGACGAGGGACTCTCTGGGGCCTCTTGCGTCAGGCGCTGGTTCCCTTCGCAAGGCTCCACCCTCATGACCCCACCCCTCAAGACCCCGCCGCCAGCACCATGACATTGAGGGTCAGGATTTCAACACAGGAGTCTGGGAGGACACGAGCACCCCCTACGAGTTCTGACTCGGCAGCATCACATGACTGCATCCTGCTGGCATTCCGCAAGCAGCTGCCTGAAGCCGAGTGGCGGGTCTCGTGGCCCTCTGTTCCCAGGCCTCGTCAGGACTGAGCGGCGGCACTGACGGCTGTGTGTAACGAGATGCCTCATGAACGGCGCACGTCAGGTGCGACCTGGTTTCAGAAAGGATGGATCATAAAAGTGTGTGTCCCCAAGAATTATGGAAACACAGCCACATTCCTCAGTCACAGGCAGAGGGGCCCCGTGCACTCTGCCTCAGTGTCTCCGTATGTCTTCTCCCAATGCCTCCTCACAGAAGGAAGCAAACGACCTGGGCGTCCTGAGTCTTTATTTTCTGAGGGCTCAAGCCCCCACCAGGGTTCCCGCTGGTGAAACCCATGTTAACTGTGGCAGGCCTGTGTTCCCCAGGGACCTTGTGCCCCGCTGGGGCGGGGTGAGCTTTGCGGGCCATGGGAGCACATTTGCCCAAGGGGAGAAAGACTGACTGTGGCAGCCACAGGTGAAAGCCTCTCTCATCCGCTGAGGCTCCCGGGGCTGCGGTAAGGCGTGCCTCCCTATGTCCCAGGACTGGCCTTATACGCCACCCAGCTTCCCTGGCTGTGAGCTCCCTCAAAGCTAACATGGAGGGGGGTTGTTGAACCCGGGACTCTAATGAGAGAGATAGAGACCACAAAGAGCCAGCTCTGATGCAAACACACGAGGGTCTTTATTCAGGCTCGAGTCTGGGCTCACGCATGAAGCCCGTAGAGGCTTCATGGACCAGAGCCCTGATTCACAATGGCAAGCAGTTTTTATGCACAATTACAGAGGGAGGGGAAAGAACTTTAAACTTGATTTTACATGATTGGGTAATTTCTCCTAATGGGTACGGGAACACTTGGTATTGGTGGGTGCTGTCCGTGATTGACAGAAACCCACTTAATGGGCAGAGTGGAATGTTAGATAAGTTAGGTCCATGCAGTCCCTGTGTATGAAGTAACCTGAGCCAGCAGGCAAAGGGTTACATTAGCCCTTTAAGTTTCCATCCCAAGGTATGCTTAGGAAAGCTTGTTTGCTTAAATTAACATTTACATAAGATAACATGGCCATTATGGGACAACAAAAGCTTAACCAAGTTTTAAATTAAAAACTTAACAAAGTTTTAAATATGAATGCTGCAAACACATACAGTGAATGTGGGGTAGAAATTCATATACTAATTCTGGGAATTTATAAAATATCACAAGAGTATTATAGCAAGGCGGTTTCTTTTATAAAAGTCTTTGTTCCCTTGAGGTTTACATAGCCACTGCGTGTAAATTATCACTGGGATAAAAACCGGTGATAGAGAGCAGCTGGCACCTCTGAGTCTGCTGCCACCTTGTAGGAATGTCTGAAAGGGGCTTATCGCTTTATCATTTACATCCCGTTGTAAAAGCAGCAGTTAGCCTACTAATTTGGGGCTGACAATGCTTAACCCAAGAGCTCTAAACACAAACACTACTTACGCCATTACATAATTGGTCACGACCCGGCACCCGACATATGCCTAATTCTACGGGATCTGAGGTAGGATTTAAAGTACTAAGATTTCATCTGAGGTAGAATTTAAAATACTAAGATTTCATAAAATACATGAGGTAGGAATACACAAAATATATAGTAAACATGAGGTGGGGATATATGAAATATAGTGAACTAAACGCTACTTTTACAACAAATATGGTGTTTTTTTAAAAGTTTCTTTGGGTCTCTCAATAGCATGCTCTTAACCTAAATCTACTGTTGTCCTCTCAGGGTGCCTTGTGAATGGCACAGACCAGAGCCCTCTCACAGGCGCCTGGCCGTGGACTCAGATGCCCGCTGGAGCCAGGCAGCCTGGGGAGGGGCTGGGAGAGCAGGTCTGCGGCTACGCAGAGCGCTGTCCTGTTGAGGGCAGGCCCAGGCTGTGGGTCTGAGCCGTTCTAGAAGCCAAGGGTGCGGATTCTTCTGTGGACGCTCCCGAATTTCATGTGGGTGACAAGCGCCACGACTTGAGACACGCAGGCACAGCCTGCTGTGTGCTTGCGATGGCAGCAGTCCTGGGCCTGGGGGCACCTGGGCTCCACATTCAGCCTGGGAGTCTGTGCTCAGAGAAGGCAGCCCCCGCAAGGACGCCAGGGACGGCTTCCTCGGCCCTCCTCCCAGCAGGCCCTGGGCTCTCCCTGCGTCTGCTCAGGGTTTTCAAACAGCTCGCTCAGCGGGCTCCTTTCTGTACTTGAAGTGGGGATTTGGGATTCTCCTGCCAGGAAAATGGCCCGAAAGCACATGAGCATCATCAGATCATCTGCCATGCAGTCTGCGGACAGTCTCAGAGCAGACAAAGCAGCAGCCTGGCTAGTGTGGCGGACTTGCAAGTGACATGGAAGAGAGCTGTGGATTTACTTCCAGCTCTCACACACTGTAGGGCTGTTACTGGGTGGAGATTCTTTTCTTGCCTGGAGGCCAGTGAGTGAGTTGTCTGAAGGGTGATTGGGGCAATCACAAAACAAAAAGCATGCCAAGCGCAGGACCGCGTGGAGTAGGTACTGTTTGTGAGGATGAGCCTGCGCTCTGGAGAGATGGTGAGGAAGGAGCCAGGAGGGCTGGTGGAGCGCCCAAACCCCCGTTCAGTTACGATGGGTGGCATCCTCCAGGGACCTGTGTCCTCAGGCAGATCACATCTGGGGACCTGTGGTCTTGGGCAGGTCACGTCTTCTTTCAAGGAGCTGCATCCTCAGGTCTTGTCTGGTGACCCGCGTCCTCAGCCAGGCCATGTCCAGCTCTGTGCCAGAATTGGCTTGAGGAGGATGTTTTACTATCTATAGAAGATTCCAGAAGAAATCCGGAAGTCCTAGGCCGGGCTCGGTGGCTCAGTCTGTCATTCATTTTAGCACTTTGAGAGGCTGGAATGAGTGGATTGCCTGAGCCCGTGGGTTTGAGATTAGCCTGGACAGCTTGGCAAGACTTCATCTTTACAATAAATAAAAAATTGGCCAGGTGTGGTAGCCCACACCTGCAATGCCAACTCCTTGGAAGGCTGAGGCAGAAGGATTGCCTGAGCCTAGCAGGTGGAGGCTGGGGTGGCCATGAGTATGCCCCTACACTCCAGCCTGGACGACAAAGTGAGACTCTGAGTCAGAAAAAAAAAGAAAAAGAAAAAAAAAATCCGGAAGTCCTGCTCAGTGCTCAGAATGGCTGCTGATACCACTTGCGCTTCGCGGCTGCCCTGCGGGAGTTAAGGAGCAGAAGCATCTCAGCGATGCATGTCGGGTGCTGGGTGGCAAGTCCTCTCTGGAGATCAGGGAAGTCGGCTCCCCAGCGAGTCCATTGCTCTCTGGCGGTTTCTTCCCTGGACCTTCAGCGCACGTCTGTTCCTGGAGATTGCGTATTAGCCCTGGGTTCTCTGTGTGAGCTCTGTGACTTCACTGTCCAAATTTTCGAGAATGAAGGTGCTACACACCCTTGCCAAAAACAGTCCCCTTGGGCACGCCGAGACACAGACTTGGTCGAAGCCTGCCTGGTCCCCATGGTGTGAGAGGAAACAGAAAGGTCGCCGAGGGCCAGATGTGGGGTCAAGGCCCCCTACGTATAGAGTGAAAGGCATTCCCGTTCAAGCATGATACATGAGTTGGGGGGAGGGCTTGTCCCTAGCACTTCTGACCGTGAAGTCTTGCAGCATGTTTCTGCATGGCTGTGTTTTTAGTCCATTGAGACATGGACGGATTCCAGCCCAGCTCGGATGATTCAGGCTCTGACAGTACCCTTCTCTTCTGTCTCCCACTCCAGTCCTTGAAGAGAGGAACTGCTCGGACCCCGGGGGCCCAGCCCATGGGCACAGGAGGGTCACAGGGGGCCCTGGGCTCGCCGATCGACACCACATGAAGGTGGGCACTGTCCTCACCTTCTTCTGTAACGGCTCTTACGTCCTCAGCGGCAACGACCAGAGGACCTGCCAGCAGAGCGGGGAGTGGTCCGGGAAACAGCCCATCTGCGTCAAAGGTAGTGTGGCTGGTGGGCCGCCTGCAGGTGTATGCAGGATGCTAGTGGGCCGGGGGCTCCCAGCATGATTTGAGTCCCTGAAAATGTGCCTTTCTGCTGTAAGTGCTTCCTGGACCCGAGCGTAGCTCTGTGGTTGGAAGCCATCCCCAAATATCTGCTTTTCTGGCCCCAAGAGGACTGGCTTGCCCACACCACGACACCTCAAGGTACTCAAGCAGGGCGGTCTAGTGCAGGGCAGGTGGCAGAGTTTAACACATGGGTCCAGGGGCAGCGTCTAGGCCGCTTGCGAACCCTGACACAGCTGTGTCCATCCCACCACACAGCCAGTCAGCCAAGAAACGAAAAGAGGAGACAGATGCACTGTCTCACCAGCCTCTGCCGGGGAGGACTAATGGTGCTGAGCTGTCCGGAAGCTGAGGCAGACAGGAAGCCCTTGGGTGTTCAAGGGACACTCCCAGGACAGGCGAGTTGTCCCCGTTCAGAGAGAGAAGAGACCAGGGACCGTGCAGGAGCCGGGTGGGGTTGGCACCAATCAGGAGAGCTGAGGGACTTGGGTGTGGAGAGGAGCCATGCTGTTAATCCGGATGGAAGCCAGCGGGACAGAGCAAGGTGCAGGCAGAAGGGACTTGTACTGGCCGGCGCGAGCGAGGCAGCCAGGAACCTGGGAGGTGAGTTCGCATGTGGGTTGGAGCCAGACAGATGGGCCGTCGTACGGAGGTTTTGCTTCCCCGGCCGTGGGATCCGAGCTCCCTGCTGAATGGGTTCACCAGCTGCTCCAGGTGGGACCCCTCGGCCTGGGAGCAGGCCACCATGACCCGGCTGTTTACCGGGAAGTGAAGCATGTCCTTGTCCCGGATTATCCAGATAATTGCCTTCACCCCGCACTTGTGGGTGTTTGTCAACAGCCTGAGCCATGGACAGCAGCGAAAGGGACCACCTTGTGAAAGGAACAAGCCTCTTTAGTCGCGGACCAGAAGCGGCCGCTTCCCACCCGCACAGACTCTGAATCTGGTTTTCATTAAGTATGGGAACAGTGTCCCATAAGACCTTGGAGGTTTCTGTCCACCCTTCTCTTACAAATTAACACAGCCTGAGTTCTCCAAGTTGCTAATTAGATGAGGGTTGGCGGCCTGATTGGGAAAGAGAGGCGGGAAGGGCCCTTTTCACTGTGAAGAAAGAGAGCCTTCCGCAAAATTGAACTGGGCTTGGAACTGCCCCGTGACTGCAGGGTCCTGAGTGCAGAGAGGACAGGGAGGAACAGTGACCAGGGCCTGTCTGTGAATGCTGCTGTCCGGCTCCCAGGGAGGCCCCTCCGCTCCCTGCATGAGCTGCCCTTTGATGCATTCCGCCTTGACGAGCTTTCAGCCCTGTTCCCGCAAGCAGGCGGCCCTCACGGGGCGCTGCCGCTGTCCCAGTCACCACGGGCTGCAGCGCAGGGGCGTGTGCACACGTGGGCTCTTCTGGGTCAGGGTTGGGAGGGGGCGGCTGCTGCATCCAGCCCAGTGAGCCAATGGAGTTCGGCCGAGGGTCTCAAGGGCTGGGGTCCGGTGTGGTCCCGAGTGCGGTAGGCGGTGACCGTGGAAAGGTCATGCGCCTTGTCTCTTTGCTTCCAGCCTGCCGAGAACCCAAGACCTCAGACCTGGTGAGGAGGAGAGTCCTTCCAACGCAGGTTCAGTCGAGGTGAGGGCACCCAGCTCTGTCTTTGGGTTGGGGGAGGCGCCTGCCACCCCCTCTCCCCACGGGCGTCGGGCCAGAGACAGCCTGGGTTTCACGGGGACACTGAGTGCTGCCTGGTTAGGAGAGAACAGGCTTGTTAGATGGAGCTTGTTAGCCAGCCACCGTGAGCCAAGGGGTGGCAGCCGCTGGCCGGCGGTCAGAGCTAGGGGACCGTGGGAAAGCAGGCGCTGGCTGCAAGCTAGACTTTCAGATGACCTCTGAGGAGCAGACATCCACTCTTGCATCTCTCAGAAGTTGTGGCGTATTGATGGTCAGGCGTCAGTGACCTTTCCAACCCACGCAGCCAGCTCTGACACTCCTGTCGTGACCAGCGAGCACGGCAGGCCAGGCCAGGCCAGGAGAGAGGTGGGCGGTGGCTGTGGGGGTGGGGGGAAACCGGCTGAGTGCCCAGCCGGAGGGATGGGGGCAGAGACCAGGTCCTCGGCTCCCTCCTGCCTCGGCCCCACTCCACGCCCGTGGAGCAGCCGCCTCCGCGTGCCACCACTCCAGGCGCCATCCTGCCTGGGAACTGGACGCGGTGGCTCCATCTGGACCTGCCTCGCGGGGTGTGAGCGAAGCTTCCCTGTGTGCCTCTGCTCTGCTGGGCGCTTGCCCATGAAGGGGCCGTTCCCGTGAAGGTGGCTTCCCCACCTCACCCCTCCCATGAGTGGATTCGGGACCCAGAGTCTCGGGCCCTCGCCGCCCTCTGTCTCGTCCCCAGCGTCCCCCTGGCCTGCTGCCTTCCAGGCCTGCCCTTGGTTGGTTTGCCCAGTTCCTGCCTCCCTCCCCTCCCAGCAACGTGGACGTGACATGTGCAGGAACGCGGTCTGTGCTGCTGGAGCTGGAGTTCTCATGCCCACGTCGGAGTTCTGTACATGCGGACTGGGTTCACAGCCAGGGTGCGAGGCTGGGGCTGCCTCCCTTGGGTGCTGGAAATTCCTGGGCGAGTGCCCAAGCTTGCTGGCCTCAGTTTGCTCTTTTGACAGTCACGGAGAGGTGCAGTCCATCCCAGGGACTGTTGTGAGGGGTGCACCCTGCGCGGTAGCCAACCCGGTTCGATGCTCGCTGTGGGCGTGGCTCACCTGTTCCTCGGGCACCAACAGCTCATTTCGCCCTCACTGCAGCCTCCACACTTTTGTTACCGATGGGTGGACTGAGGCTCAGAGGAGCCGAGGAACTCGTCCAAGACCACGTTGCTGGAACACATGGCCAAGCCAGGATGCACACCCGGCGTGTATCTTCAGGGTCCTTCCTCGTGCTCTGGGTGTTCGGCCTCCTGTAGTGGGCCTGGTGAGGTGCCCTGCGCAGAGACACCCATCCCAGGGCTGTCGTTGGCAATCTAGCAGGGAGCCCCAGAAACGAGCCTGGGCCCCACCCCCATGCCCGGAGTATCCAGTCAGGACCCCTGTACTGCCCTTTCCCCCTTGTACTGTCCCAGCCCCTTCTGACTTTCCCCCCGGGGGAGGCAGCTCCTTGGAGACTGTGGAGTCCACATCCTGGCCCTTTATGACACCCTGGGCTGGACTCCCCCCTGAGTGGGATCAGCCTGTCCCTTCCCAGGGCACGTGTTGCAGGTGAGCACCGAGCTGGTCACAGGGACCACTGGGCTCCCGTTTCTGTGCAATCTTAGCAGGAGGTCAGTGGCGGGGGTAGGTGCTGTGTAAGTGGATGTGAGCCTGTGTAAGGAGGGCCTGTGCCTGCGTCCTGCATCCAGGGCCAGGCCCACCCCCAGAGGTGTGTTGACCTCCCATCAAGAGAGGGGCGTGTCTGCAAGCTCATGGAGTTCCGGCAGGCCTGGGTGTAAACACTCACTGAAGATCTGAAATGGAATCAACACAGGGCATATTGCTCCGAGCCAAACATGGTGCAGCAATTAGATAGACTTCTTCAACAAGCTGCGGGGGCCCCAGGGCGAGTCATGGAGGCTGAGTGCCGTCCTGGGCACCGGCTCCTCTGCTGTATGCCCTGAGCACTCCCACGACCCTCTCTGGGTTTCCCTAGACAGGGATGAAAAGTGAATTCCCAAGGGAGCACCAGCCTGTCAATGGGCAGCCGTTATGACCAACAGGGCCTGAACACGGCTACATGGTGCTTATGCAGTACCTAGCCACCTGGTGGTCTCAGAAGCAGCTCCAGGCGTGTCTCTGTCCCTCTCACAGTGACACACTGCCTGCATGTTCAGGAGCAGGGTGCATGTCTACAAGCACCGGTCACAGCTCTCACTGCCGAATCCAGCTGTGTGCCAGCGCCGTGTGCTCAAGCCAGGTCCCAATGTCGCCCCATTTGGAGGTTGAACAAACCTACCTGGACGCCTTTGGTCAAATCCCTGCCCTCCGCCTTGCATGGTGGCTGATCCACGTGTGCCCGTGCTGGGTGCAGCCGTCGGCGGGACAGCATTCTCTCTGGCAAAAGTCTGGAGCCAGAAAGGGAACCGGGGAGGCACGGAGGTCAGGTGTGCGGGAGACTGTGCCCGTGCTGGGAGGAGGTGTGTGGGAGGCACAGAGTGGGAGGTGTGTGGGAGGCAGAGAGTGAGAGGCAGCCATGTCTTTCCTCTGTGACCCAGTATCTTGTGGGGCTCGGCACGGACTCCGAGGCCAAACAGGTCTGTCGCCCCCCCCCAGGGAGACGCCGCTGCACCAGCTGTACTCCGCGGCCTTCAGCAAGCAGACGATGCAAGGCGCCCCCACCAAGAAGCCCACCCTTCCCTTCGGAGACCTGCCTGCCGGCTACCAGCACCTGCACACCCAGCTGCAGTACGAGTGTGCCTCACCCTTCTACCAACGTCTGGGCAGCAGCCGGAGAACGTGCCTGAGGACGGGGAAGTGGAGTGGGCGGGCCCCGTCCTGCGTCCCGGGTGAGTCGAGGCTGGCTCTGGGGCATCCTCCGCCGGTTGCAGCTGCCCAGGAAACTGTGCGTCCTGGTGGAGCCTTGTCCGGGAGGGACCCTGGTCCAGAGGATTGGGCCGGCAGAGCGCTCCCTCGTGGGGTGATGTCTGAAATCCCACACGTAGAGCTTCTTTCCTTTAGCCCAAACATACTGTCCAGGAGAAGGGAACCCACTCGAGGCAGCTTTCTTGTGGGTGAGCCATCGTGTTTTCTTGGAGAAAAGGGAGAGAGCAGTCATTAATCGCCAGGTGGGGAAGGGGTGGAAAGCACCCGAGGGCTTCAAGTTTCGCAATCTCAGCCGCCCTGTGCAAGCCCTGGTTCACACTCTCCGACACTGTTCACTGGGTCACCATCGCTCATTAAGTAATGCGGCATGGACGGCCCCATCAGGTCACAGTGATGATCTCTGAGATAATGTGTGGACGTGTCTGGATTGGGTCTTTCTGTTCCCGCCACCTCTCTGTGAGAGGAGAGGTGTGTGTGCGGCCAGACCACCCTGAACGTACTCGGCCTCGTCTGAAGGGAGAGCAGTGAGGCTCAGTCCACTTTGGCCGTGTCCCGACGGCAGTGCGTATATTTTTGGTATGTTTCTGAAATTGTCTCAGTCTCCTCAAGGCCCCCATGAGACGGTTGTCATTGCTACCCATCACACAGGCAGGAAGACAGAGCCTCAGGAGATAAGGCAGCGATAGAAGCGTCTAGGAACAGAACCCAGTTTCATGTGGCTGCAAAGCCTCCGATTTCACCCCACCCTTTGCAGCCAGCCACGTTGGGGTGGTGGACTAAACTTAAAGGCAGCAGCTCAGGTGGGACGGTCTGGTGGCCTCACACACAGTTGTGTGTCCTGGCTGAGTGGCGTGTTCCCCTTGGATGGGAGAGTCTGAGTTCATCTTACTAGGCTGGTACTTCCTCTGTAGTCTGCGGGAAAATCGAGAACATCACTACTCCGAAGACCCCAGGGTTGCGCTGGCCGTGGCAGGCAGCCATTTACAGGAGGACCCATGGGGCGCAGGACAGCAGCCTGCACGGTGGAGCGTGGGTCCTGGTCTGCAGCGGCGCCCTGGTGAACGAGCGCACCGTGGTGGTGGCTGCCCACTGTGTCACCGACCTGGGGAAGGTGGCCGTGATCAAGACAGCAGACCTCAAAGTCATCTTGGGGAAATTCTACCGGGACGACGACCGGGATGAGAAGACCATCCAGAGCTTGCGGGTGAGAGGGGCCACGCCCTGGAAACGGGCTCCGCCTGTGAGCTCCAAACATGGGGCAGTGAACATGCGGCCCTGTCCCCCAGCATGTCCGCAGCAGCCAGAGCCAGGCCCAGAGCAGGGTTCGACATTTCATACTGACTCATACCAGACAGGGACATCCAGAAAGACGATAGAGTCTTTTTTCCTTTGGTTATTTCAAAAGTAGGATAGAGACAAACGCCTTCCATCATTGTGGCCACCAAAAGTTAATCACCGAAGAGTAGAATACACACATGCTTCTCCTAGTAGCATCTATCGTGATGGTGACAAATTTAAAATTGTTGGAACGACTTGCTTAATGGCTGACTTTCCCGAAGCCGCGAGCTCCACGGATGCAGTGACTTGACATTCACCCCCACAGCCTGGCACAGTGCTTGGTTCAAAGGATCAATAAATACTTCTTGAATGAAAGTCAGTCACCTGTTACATTTGGACACTGTCCTAGGGAGGACATAGAGAAGCTTTATCTAATACATGCCTAGCCAAGTTACTACATACTTCTCACTGTCCCAAGCCTCCCTCCCTCTCTCTCTTCAACTCATCTACCATCTGTTTGTCCATCCGTCCGTCCATCCATCTGTCCATCCATCCATCTATTCGTCCATCCATGCATCTACTCGTCTGTCCATCCATCTGTCCATCCATACATCCACTTATCCACCCACCCACTCATCTATCCATCCATCTGTCCATCTAGTCATCCATCCCTACACTTACTCATCTATCCATCCACCCATCCACTCATCTATCCGTCTGTCCATCTAGTCACCCATCCATCCATCTACTCATCTATCCATACACGCATCTACTCATCTATCCATCCGTCCATCCATCCATCCATCCATCCATCCATCCACTCATCTATCCATCCAACAGTCCATCTGTCCATCCATCCATCCATCCATCCATCCATCCATCCATCCATCCATTCATTCATCCATCCATTTTTGAACTCCCACAATGTAACATTCACTGCAAATAGACACAGCAAAGAATAGGCATTTTTGGCCAGGTGCAGTGACACGAACCTGTAATCCCAGCACTTTGGGAGGCCAAGGTGGGAGGATTGCCTGAGCCCAGCGGTTCAAGACGAGCCTAGGCAACTTGGTGAGACCTTGTCTCTACAATAAATCACAAAATCCAGCTGTTCATGGTGGTGTGCATCTGTAGTTCTAGCTACTTGGTAGGCTAAGGTGGAAGGATCGCCTAAGCCCAACAGATTGACACTGGGGTGACGGTGACCATGCCACTGCACTACAGTCTGGGAGACAGAGTGAGACCCTGACTCAGGGAAAAAAAAAAGAATAGGGATTTTTTGAAGAGTTCACAGTCTAGTGGGAGAACCAGATCATGATCAGGTGACACGAGATGCCCAGAGGCAATGCTTTCAAAGGCATTGAAGTAACAGGACACACACAGAAATGATGTACGAGTTATCACAGATGTGAGTTCCTGGAGGCTCCCATCAAAGAGAGTGACCGGCAATATGGGGAAATCAGGAATGCGTTGTAGAGATGTCTTGGGAAACGTCTAGGCATAGCTCTATCTGGGTGGCTTGGAGGCAAATGAAATGTTTCAGTGGAACAAAGGTTATACAGTAATAACTATATGGGTTTGTGCCTTGATGGTGCTAACATGGGTATTTTCAATTATTTATTTGAAACATTTAAAAATTAAGATATTCAGGTAAATATCTGGAGGCCACTCTGATAAAATGGGAACGCTGGCCTCACGTCTGCAGAGTGGTGAGCAACTGGAGAAAGTGGCCACTGCCCACCTTAGATGTGTGTAGGCTCCCGTGCAGAAGTGTGTGGGCCATGTAGCTGGGTGTGACCTCTATGGCAGTGGGTGTCCTCCATGTAGATGGGTGTGCCCTGTGTTCTCCAGCGGGTGAGTGGGCTCCCTCAGATGGGTGGGCTCCCGCTCCTTGCCACCCTCCATCCTCTCTGCTCTCTTAACACCACACCGGCTCTGGGCAGCCTAACAGGGTGCATTCCCTGGCACAGAGCACTTCCCCAGCAAAGAGCCTCCTGTGGTTGCCACCTACAGACTCATCTTCTCGTGGTGCACCCCAGGCCTGGGTGTCATGCCTATGCCACCTGCTCACCCCGCTCCCGGCCCTCTTTGCAGATCTCCGCTGTCATCCCGCACCCCAACTACGACCCCATCCTGCTGGACGCCGACATCGCCGTCCTGAAGCTCCTGGACAAGGCCCGCCTCAGTCCCCGTGTGCAGCCCATCTGCCTGGCCTCCATGCGCGACCTTAGCGCCTCCTTCCAGGAGGCCCATGTCACAGTGGCCGGCTGGAACATCCTGGCAGACGAGAGGAGCCCCGGCTTCAAGGACGAGGCACTGAGCTCGGGGGTGGTCCAGGGGGTGGACTCGCTGCTGTGTGAGGAGCAGCACGAGGACCGAGGGGTCCCTGTGAGCATCACTGACAACATGTTCTGCGCCAGCCGGGATCCCGCCGCCCCTTCTGACATCTGCACTGCAGGCACGGGCGGCATTGCGGCTGCATCCTTCCCAGGGCAGGTGTCCCCTGAGCCCCGCTGGCACCTGGTGGGACTGGTCAGCTGGAGCTATGACCGCACATGCAGCCATGACCTCCCCACGGCCTTCACCAAGGTGCCGCCCTTCAGGGACTGGGTCGAGCGGAACATGAAGTGAGCGGCATCTGCCCGTGGGCGCGTGCTGCATGGTCATGTGGACTGGTGGGCGTGCCGCCATGAGCTCGGCTGTTTCGGGTTTATGGTTTCAGGGATAGCACTCAGGGCCAGGGAGAGCGGTATCTGGTGGTCACTGCCTCCCTGGCTGCCTAGATGGCCACTTGGAAGACGGCTTGCAGGGGCACTTCTTCAGAGAAGACCCTGAGAACACAGACCTTCCCGGCCTCCCAGGGCACAGTGGAGAGGGGGCTGGCAGGGAGGCCGGGCTTCTTGAGGCCTCTTGGGAGGCTGCGTGCTCCAGAATGCCGCCTGCAGGACTGCCCAGCTGTGAGCTCGGGGTGGCTTGGGGCTGGCGTGGGCTTCTGTGGCCATGGCTGCCGTGTACGTGGTCCTTCCCTCCCCATCTCTTGTACACATTCAATAAAGCAAGGGCTGGCTTCTGCCCAACACGTGTGCTGACCCACGTCCCGCACACCCCTCCGAGTTCCCTGTGAGGGCCAACACCTGGCATGTGCCCTTTAAAGTGGCGCCCAGGGCTTTCATCCCCATGATGCCTTTGACACAGCCAGTGTCAACCAGGAGCGTGGTAGGAGAGGAGGGAGATGGGAGCGTCACGTGAGGTGCTCACGGGGGACACCAGGGACGGGGGAAGTCCAATGTGGCTCTGGCTCACGTTCTGAACTTGGCAAGAACCCTGCTGGGGCCTCGGGGAATCTTTCCTGAGCTCTCAGTGTTTGAACCGGCCACAGCTCCTCGCCAGATGGGATAAGCAGGAAGTCCCCATGGAGGAGATATCTCCAGACCCTGCCCCGCCGCCCACGAGGCACCAGCCCACCCAGGCACCTTGCGACCCCTCCAGGGCCTTCTCCTTGGGCGACTCTCCCTCCTGTTTCTCCTCCCCTCCCCTGCCCGTCTCTCTCCAGCCCAGGGCGAGGGTGGGCACGTCGTGCCATGTCCTTTGGACTCCTTCCCACGCCTCAGCCCTTCCAGGACGCCTGCTCCTGGCAGCAGGTGAGGACCCTGCTGGATGCTGGCCTGAGTCATTCAGCCCCGCAGCCACAGTGCCGACCTTTGGTGACTGCCCAGCCTCCCAGCGACCTCCCCTTCCTCCCCAGGGCCCGAGGGGACGTCGGGGTCTTTCCTGGAGCATGTGGGAACTGGGAGCCCAGGCTTCCGAGGGGTCCTCCTGCAGGCCCAGGCGGGGCCCCACTGTCCCCTTACCCATCTCTGAGGCCCTGGGCCTCCAGGGCTGCAGCCGAGACAGGAGTGAGGACGCCTCCCCGTCACTGGGCCCTGTGTGACCCTGAGCAGGGGGAGTGTGCTGGCCGGGCTTTCCTGGGCTTTCCCCCTGCCCAGCCCATCCTCCTGGCTGGATCTGAGAGTGGTGCCTTTGCTCCCAACTGTCAGGATGAATTGCCCAGCGCTGGTGTCTTGGAGTGGTGGCTGTCGATTCTCAAGTGTCAGTGGGCCAGGAATTGGAGCACAGCTTAACCCGAGGCTGCCGTGGCCGACACCGTGGCAGAGGCTGGAGGATTTGATTCTATAAATATTTACTAGGTCACGTAAAGGCTTTTTTTTTAAAACCTAGAAAGCCTGGGTCTTGAAAGTGTCATGGAAGTTGGAGCAATGAGACCCGGATTTCAATTCCTATCCCCGATTTCCCTTCCAAGTGGCCCCAGCCATGCTTGGCTCTCTCCTCAGGTTGTCCTCATTCGCTGGCATGATACACCCCAGGGATGTCACAGTGGTGGCTGTGACGATCGGTGAGGTGTGGGGCAAAGCGGTGACCACAGTGTCACCTACGGGACACAGCTCCTCATGCCTCCATGCCTGCCCAGGCAGGCACTCCCTCTGCGCATGGGCATCGTCACACACCACGGAATCTGAATGCTGGGCCACAATGGCAGCCTTGGTGGGTCTTCACGCCTGCCCCCTGATGTCCACATCCTACCAGCAGGGCTCGGATGCTGGGGAGTGACCTGGCACTCCTGCCAGGCTGTGACAGCCACCCGCCGGGACCAATACTCTCAAGGGGCCAACATGGCCGGGGCATTCAGGCTGTGATGGACAGAGGCACACACAGGACCCCGCTTCCTGGGTCAGGACAGACGAGAGCAGGTCGCGGTGTAAACCACAGAGACACCACTGAACCCCACCCTGGGGACGGGGTGACTGCCACTCCTTCCGCCACGCCTTCCTGTCACCGCTGTGACTCTTTCCTGTCTCCTCCCTTCTAGCACAGAACTGCCCCTACTTCCTCGTGGCACTGCCCAAGCAGCTCCCCTTCCCAAAGCCTCCCTGCCATCCCCCAGCAACAGCCCAGGTGCTGCAAGTTCCTTCTGACACACTCTGGTGAGACACCCCACAGCTCCCTAGGATGCACAAGGGCCGGAGACCCCAACTGCTCAACTCACGTGTGCTTCCAGGTGTCTGTGGCCGGAGGGTCCCGCGTATGAATACAGCCCTCTGTGTGTTTGTGTGTGTGTGTACATATGTATACACACGTGCATGTACACAGGTACATGTGTGTACACCACATGTATACACATGTGCATGGATACTCACATGTGCACACACATAACACATGTACCCATATGCACATCCATACATGCATACGCACACATATATGCACAGCCGTACACATCAGCATATGTGTGCGTACACAGGCGGTCCCTGACTCAAGAGGGTTTGACTCGGGGTTCCATGACTTTAGGCTGGTGCAAGAGTGGCACACACTCACAGAAGCTCTGAGAACCCACACGGCCACTCTGCTCCTCACATTCACATGGAACTCGAGACGGTGAGGGTGAGTGAGTGCTCAGTCACCAACAAGGCTTCGAGTGGATGATACACCCAACCGGGCTCGCTGAGCGTCCTGAGCACGTCCGAGGGACCCAGGCTGTGCGAGGGGCTTGGCAGGTCAGGCGCCTCAATGCGTGTTCAACTCATGGTGTCTTCAGCTTATGGTGGGCTTACCGGGACACGGCCCATTGAAGAAGGGGGCGTCGTGTATATGTCAAGTGTTCCCCAAATCACACAGATTTTACTTGAACTTCATGCATCATGGATGTTTTACCACACAGTTCACAGAAGGTAAGGAAGCCCCGTGTTTTAGCAGGACTGTCTCTCCTCGGGGCGGCCGGGCTTTTTGCCGTGACTGAGTGGCAGCTCACGGCGCATTCTCTCCCGGAAGCCCCTCGGCACCGGAAGTGGGGCCCCACGCAGGACGGGCATTGTTCTTCACAGGCGGGTCTTGGAGTGAGGGTAGACAGGCAGGAAGACACTGTGCGTGGGGCAAGACTTCAAGAACGCCCGGGATCCCTCGGGGCGGGCTGTCTGGAGGGGCTGCTCACTGCCCTCGGTGAAGCCCCTGCTGCAGCGCAGGTCGGGGGCCACCTCACCAAAGCCCACCGACGGTGGGTCCCACACCTGGGGGCTCTTCCTGCCCATCTGCAGACCCCAGCTCCTGTGGTGGTGCCAGGAGAGTGAGAGGTGTTCTAGAAAGGCCCGTTGGGACGCTGTCCCAGGAGTGGGCGGTGGGCCGAGACCCGGCCGTCACACACAGGGCCTGGCAACGACACTCAGTCTCAGCCTGTGAACGTGGGCTGCTGTCCTGGCGGCTGTTGCCATTGCTTTGTTGTTGTTCTTCTGGGGGGGAGACTGGAGGCCGAGGAGCCAGTTATGAGAGGCATAGTGAGGGCTGGAGAGGAGAGGAGCTTTGCGGGTGCTGGGAAGGCCCAGGCGAGTGGAGGCCACGGGAAAGGACAGTGGAGGTCAACAGGGCGGGGGGGGCAGAACAGGGAGGAGGAGCGAGCAGAGGGCCACGTGGGCGGAGCTGTCTGGATGCCTTTCTGAGAGAGGTCAGGTACTGGAGCTCACGCCTGCAATCCCAGTGTCTTGGGAAGCCGTGGTGGGAGGAACCCTTGAGGCCAGGGGTTCGAGACCAGTCTGGAAAACATAGCAAGACCTCGTCTTCATAAAAAAATTTTAAAAATCAGCCGGGGGGGGGGGGGGCTTCTGTGGTCCCAGCCACTTGTGAGACTGAGAGGGGAGGGTCGCTTGAACCCAGGAGTTCAAGGCTGCAGCGGGCTACGATTGCACCGCTGCACTCCAGCCTGGGTGACATCTGCAGTCCTCCAAGGCTCTCTTTCCAGCCGACGCCGTTGTCATCTGGAGCAAGGGGTGTGGGTGTGAACGTGAGTCTTCACCGTCCTCAGGGACTTCAACTTCCTGCAGGTTTCCCACATTCAGCTCCCACACAGAAATGTTCGCTGACACCCTCTCTCCACCCAGAACCCACTGGGAATTGTGTCAGCATCCGTTTCCCACCTGCCATTCGTCCAAGTCCTCCATGCTTGCTGTAGATCACGGGCGGGGACCCAGAGGGCGACTAGGTGGGCTGGCGTGTGCCCTTGGTCACAGCACCCAGGCAGCATGCAGAGGAGAAGCCACAGCAGGCAGGGGAGGATAAACAGCACCCGAGAGAATGTGTCGCAAGCAAGTGTGGGGGGATTTAACCGCAGGCGAGGGGTGAGCGGTCTTCCTCCCTGGAGAGCTGATGGGCGATCTGGGAGGAAGCTAATTCTGGGAGGGAGGAAAAACACTACAAACAGAGGGAGGAACAAGTGCAGGTCTGGAGAAGGGGCTCCTGGCACACCCCAGGAGCCTCCAGGGCAGCGAGGCTGCCGGCCGACGGAATGGGACGGACAGGGCGTATGCAGAGACCACGGCAGGGCCGCTTCAGGGCTGGGAGGATGCACCGAGAGGGCACCGCCAGGGCGGCACGACGTACGCATGCCCCATGCGCTCCCAGAATGGGAGTAAGAGCACTGGGCCGGTAGGTGCAGCCGACGCCCTGGCCTGGGTCTCCTGCGTCCTCCCCTGGACGTGAGAGCAGCCCTGGCGTCTCGTTGCAGCGGCTCTCCTGCGTGTCCTTCTGACAGAGACATTCCTGAGTGGACGGAGCTAGGGCAGCAGGAAAAGTGAGGCCGGCAGAGGAGGCAGGAAGTGAGAGAAACACACGTCTTCACTCCCGCCAGCGCTCTGTCCCAAGCATCGGGGCAAGTTCAGAGTAGGACGGACCGGGCCTGGACCGGGCCTGGAGCTTTACCTTTCTGGACTGTTGGAGGGATGCGGGCCCCGGGGGGCTTGGTGGCAGCGTGCAGCCTCGCGCTGGTCCTGGCAGCTACCCTGCGCCCCAGCAATGCTGGGCCGGGCTGGGCCGTGGGCTACATGTGCCGGGGCCGGGCTTGCGATGGCTGGGCTCGATGGCCGGGTGTGTAGGGCTCATGTTGTGTCCGTGTCTGTAGGGCTCATGTCATGTCCGTGTCTGCCTCACTGAGTGTTTCCAGAGGCCACGACTGCAACTGGTGAAAGGAAAGTCAGCAGGTCAAGCGAGCGAGCGGCCTCCTGGAT